GAAGCAGCAATCCACACATTACTCACTACCCAAAACCCGACTAACTGCTCTGACGTTATGTCCAGGGTCGCTGCGTCACTCTTCCAACGCAGGAGGGGTCCTTTAGTGGTTGAATTCTCTACTTGCGGGGCATGTCATAGACTTCTATAGAGCTACTGGACGTATGGATTACACAAACCCGTGGATTAGTCCTCAATGGATGTTTGAGTGGCAGTGCGCCGAGGGTTACACCGAGCGTCAAACAGCACTTTGAAATGGGATGGAACCACGGCAGACTATCCAAAACTGGATTCGAAAGGGTCCCCTCCCACATTTTGCAAATATGGCAGTTGCCATCGATCATCTTAAGATAAGATATACTTTATTGATCCCAAGTTGGAAATGTTTTCGTTACATCAGCATGTGTAACAGTTGTAAATATGCAGTGGTGTTTATTTGTAAATCATTTAGTATAATCACACACATTCTGTGATTTATATTGAATAATTCTGTGTTCTTTATTTATTGAATGTTCAATACCTGACAAGGTCGGAGATGACAAACTTGGGTCGCAGGTTCCTCAACAGTGCATTACAAGACATCTATAAACATGTGTGTATACCTCCACCATTAAACTGTCCTATTCTGCACATTTCTTATTCTATCTACATACATCTTATAAGAGTATAATACATATGTATAATATCAGTTCAAATAAATGCTTCAACATTTAACATTGCAGGAAAGGTGATTGTCAAGTCCCAAAACAAATTATGCAATATATTAGACGTTAAATACTTTGTCAGGCTTAATATTTATCTGTTGATACCCCCAAAGCTTTTTTCTTATTTAAAAGATGACCTTAACCTAAATAATTCTTTAATGTTTAAATAAAGCCTAATTTTGTCCGTTTTGCACATCCTCCTATTCATATCTTTGTACATCCGGCACTAAACTGTTTTATTGTAGAGATCACGACAGAATCTTCTTGATATTTTCTGTTAAATATTTATATCATTGACCTTCTACTTTCCCCCTAATTTGTATACACTCTTAATATTTGTATGTTTTCATCAAATATAACATATCAACAAAAACATTCAATAATGTGCTTTAACCACTAGGCGGGTTAAAAAACTGTGAAGTTTACAGTGTTAACACAATAAAATGTACTGCTGTTTCCAGTTTAGTTTATGATGGATGTATTTTGTTATCCACACATACAGTATATTGTTTTTATATTTGTAACACCAAACCGACAGAAAAGATGGTCTTAACATGACCCATTGGTCTAGTGTTAATAGAAAATATTTTGAAAATACAGCTTCCTGTGTTCGAATGAGCTGCTCCGACTGTCGGTCCTGTCGGACTCAAAAAGTCCGACATTATACAATCAAACAAATAAATAAACACAAGGATAATTGTGTCTTATTGTTGAGTAAATAACAGTGTGTGGTTTAGAAAACAATATATATTTCAGTCTTCTGAGCCCCATACTCTCCCCCTAACTGACGGCAACAAAAGTCCAACATTATACAATTAAAATAAAGAAGTAAAAACAATAAGTGTGGCTTGATATTGAGTAAGAAAAAGTTTGATAAACGCTGTGAGAATGGATCTGCGGAGAGCATTTCTCTGCGATCCCAACTCGTCTATTACCAACGTTCAGGGAGCTCTATGCAAGTCAATGGGACTCCCTGATAGTTGAATATTGACGCTAAAGGGCCCCCCACTGCGTTTTATAGTGACGCCAAGGGATCCTGACATGACGTCAACATAGGCTGAGTTGGGAGTGAGAATGTGTTGGCCAAATATAGGTATATTTCCCGTTCTCTTTCCTGGATGATGGATATAACGGGCACATGTTAGGGACACATGCTGGAGGTCTTTAGTCCGTCCTTTGATGCACTATTTCACGCATTTTAAACATTGTTCCTGCCTTGTCAAGTGCTTTATTGTAGCCTGGTTCATGTCCAACTAATGTACTCGAATTTGTATGTTATATGTCTCTGTATTGTACACTAGTGAATCAATCTATCAGCACGAGGGAAGTTCCATCATCCTGGAAGGTGGCCACGGTGACACCGATCTTTAGATCTAGGGATAAGGCAATGATGTCCAATTATAGACTTATCAGCATCCTCCCGTGTGTCTCTAGGATAGCTGAGAAATGGGTGTCAAAGCTAATCACCAAACATTTAGACAAAGGTTTCGCTCCACTCCACCCAATGCAGTTTGGTTTTCGTGCTCACCACTCCACTGAGACAGCTAACTGTGTCTTTGTGGAAAAGGTTAAATGTATGTTGGACACGAGCCCGTATGTAGTTGCTGTCTTCCTTGATCTCAGGAAGGCATTTGACACTGTTGACCACCAAGTGCTCCTTACAAAGCTGACTCATTTCAATTTTTCAGCAGTTTCGATACATTGGTTTAAGTCTTACTTATCGAATAGAAAACAGTGTATTTTGGTCAACGGTGCCAAATCCCCCTACCTTGTCAACCCTGTTGGGGTTCCACAAGGTTCCATTCTTGGACCGTTACTTTTTTCACTGTACATTAATGACTTGCCTAATGTCAATCAATCAATGTTTATTTATATAGCCCAATATCACAAATGTTACATTTGTCTCAGTGGACTTCACAGTTTGTAGAGAATATCAGTATGACAATACGACACCCTCTGTCCTTAGACCCTCACATCGTACAAGGAAAAACTTCAGGGAGAGCATCAGAGGAGGGATCCCTCTCCCAGGACGGACAGACGTGCAATAGATGCCGTGTGTAAATCGAAAAGATAATACATTTACAACATAATGTATGTCCTGAGTTGAATGTGCAAATGTATGCCGATGATTCGGTCATCTTTATACACGGGAAAAACACTGAAATTATCGCATCTTGTCTCTCAAATGCTTTGGGCAAGGTTCAACACTGGCTGAACAACATTTGCTTACAGTTAACAGTACCGCATGATGTTCAGTAAACGACCAGTCAAAATCGAAGGATCCAATGTGTTTTTAAACAGAACAGAAATAGAACTAGTCCCACACTTCAAGTATCTTGGAGTCAGATTGGACTCGAACTTGACTTTTAAGAAACATATCAAGAAAGTATCCAATACCATTAAATTCAACTTGCAACATTTTAAACAAATTAGACCTTTCAATGCTGCAAAGTCATACCTCCACTGATAGAATGTATTACCATGTCATAAATACTTGTGTGTGCTGCTCTTTCTCATATCATGTATTTTATTTTTGCTTTGTTTGTAAAATGTAAACTTCTTAAATGTTTTATGTGAGGGACTGCAGATGGAAATGAGCTCAAAGCTAAATCTGGCACTGTTACGCTTGATACATTTGAATGTTTAAAGTGTTCATTACTGTGCATTGTCCTTGCCAAATAAACGATCAAATAAAATAAATAAATGGTCTTTCTGTCAGACTTTGCAGTCATGCCTCCAAATGAAATCAATAAGGCCGTGCATTCTAGGAACTCAAAAAACGGACCCTCGAGGCAAATGTAGAAAATGTCAAACTCCTCTCATCTGAGAGCAAAGACAATCTCTCCCCGTTACTGAAGACGTGGAGCCTGCTGATACAGCTGACACGTCTTTAGCTCTTTCCGAGAATCCTGTGATCAACTGCTTCAAATGTTCTCAGGTCACAAGAGAGGATGTTTTTATAGAATTGGGGTTCACTGCTGTCTTATTAAACACTGCAACGGCATCTGTATTAAAGCTGTTTTGTTGTTGTAGTAGTACCGTAGATTAAAGCTACAAAACTGTAGTAACTACACAGTAAAGATAGTCTAAATTCCTTTTCTTTTAACTCTCTTAACATCAACACTTTTACAGTGTGATTTGGGAATTGTAGGGAATGATTAACAGCAGACAGGAGTTCCTCTGCTACTTAATTATTATTATACTATAAATCATAGTTTCAATGGGATTACGTTTTAAAGTACATGGCTTTAATTCTGACAACACTTTGTAAGACTGAAGACAAGTAAGGCATCATTTAGCTTGTGTTAGTACTTACAGCCAGTAAATTCATTATGGTGTGTCCCGTCTCTCGATACACAGAGTCCCGAAAACGGACACTTGTCAATGTAGTGGGATACACTGAAAACAAAAGCAAGATGTAGTTGTTATCACTAAATACAGTAAAAGCATAAAAGTACTGGTTGTGACACTATCATTAATCATCCTCAAATGTACCTATATGGAATACATATGAAAAAGTATATTTCATGAGGGGATAAGAATTCTGCTCAAATATATTTGGATTAAATCACATTTTCAATTTCAACCAAAAATACTTTATTTTCTTAGTCATTTGTTCAAACAAATAAAATCTCAAAGTTTTACATCTAAATTTGACTTATTTAAATGTTTTATTTTGTACGACCGTCCAAATAAATAAATAAAAATCAGTAACTACCACATGAGATGGAGGAAAACAGTACTTTTTTACGAATTAGAAGATGGAATCAGATAATTCTGAGCATATGAAATATTTTCAGTTTAATAAAATATTGTCTTATCTCTAATAATAAAGGAACAATTCATAGCAAAACTCTAATACATGACTTTTTGAAATGATTTGAGCTCAAAACAGTATTAAACTAACCCGGTAACACAACAGTAACGTTCAGAAAACCACACACCATTGTATTCAGCTCCAAGCCGCAGTAGCAGCCTGAGAGGAAAGACTTTGGCCCAGGGAACCTCCAGCTTCTGCACCAGCAGGCCGAACAGGAAGGGCTGCGGCGGGAGAGTGAGGTCATCGAGAGGCTGACAGGTGGGGGCGAAGAACAGCATCCCAGCGTGGTCCTTGCTGCCCAGGAAACTGCTGGTGAACGTCACATTATCCAGCTCCTCCAAGAACTTCCCTGTAGCAGCAGATAATGAAGATTCTCTGGTGATCGTGTTGCTAAACACAAAGGCAAACAGATCCTGTGTGTGATGTATCTACCTTTTTGGGCTTCTTGGTAAATGTTGAGATAGAGTGTGAAAAGGTCTTTTGGAAGGGATTTTTCCTCGGGCAAACACTCCAACAAAAACACCAACTCCCTCTGTCCCAGAGCCTGCATCCCGTTAGAGCCAAAACACCAGCACTGCCGCCCGGAGTCTGAGAGAGGAAACCAAAACACAGAATTACAGGTAGACCATCTTTAGGAGAGCATGATCAGAGATCCATGATTAGGCCTGTCGCTACAAGCAATTAATTGACTTATCGTATGATAAATAAAAATGAACTCGATAACTTTTCTGACCTCGATAAATTTCCGCTTACATGCGTGTTTGTTTACATAAGGACATTACCAGCATTTTAGCCAGGTGCGCTGTGGCTGCCGGCCAGGCGCGCTGTGAGGGGCGGGGCTCAGGACACTCCGCGTGCAACAGTGTAGCAGCCAAATGAATAATATAGAGACAAGCAGGAGACAATGTGTGACTTACTCGAGGGGAATTTGAAGTTAAATGGAATTGGTTGCAAAACTTAACTCCATCTCCGGTGTGAGAATATTTTGGATTTAAGCCAAATCAACGAGGCGAACCTACGGATTGAATGAGCCGGGCGGTGTGTCGCATTTGTTTTAAAAAGGTAGCAACAAAAGCTAACAATACGACAAACCTTAAACTGCACCTGAAACACAACCAACCCATTCCGTTTTCCCAGCTGGGAGCAAACACGGCAGCTGGAGATGGTGAGTCCACACCTTCCCGACAGTTTACAATCAAAGATGCATTTGCCCGACAATGCAAACATGTTGGTGTTCCTTGCTCGAAAACTTTGATACAGATTTGGATATGGCCTGTTGAGGTTTTATTTAATGTATTGTTTTGGTTGTGTGTGATTTAATACATTTTTTATAATTTAATTTATTAGTTTATTTATTATATATCACTTATATATTTGAATATTATTTCACATTTCATTTGCAATGTTGAATGTTCAATAAAAAAGTTATGTTTGAAAGGATGTACTTGAATTATTATTATATATTATCATTATGTCAGTGGTCTAAAATGGTCTACAACGGTGCCGACAATATTATCGTTTATCGCAATAATTTCCGGGAAAATGTATCGTCCAACAAAATTAATTATCGTGACAGGCCTATCCATGATGATTGTTTATCAGCATACGCAGTATGTATGTTTGAGTCATGTTCTACTCACAGGTAACCAGTTTGACATTGACCAGCAGGTTGGCGTTCAGAACAAAGGTCAGAGGTCGGGGTCCTCCCTCCTCTAATAAGTGCCGAATCTGGCAGGGGGCAGGACTTTCCTCAACCAAAGCATCTGAAAGGAAAACACAGCAGAGCATATGTCAAGCTACATGAATGGTATGTAGCAAAAGTGTGATTGCATTTGTCAGTGAGATATAGATGACTTTTACAGCTTTTCTTAAAAACAGGACAGCATAGTTTTGAGCAAATGTTTGCATCTGGTTCATGAAGGAGCGATAATACTACTAAGTAACAAGCATAAAATGATACAAAGAAAGATCATTGTTTTCATTTGTCTTAAAACATTTATATCCTGCTCCCTAAAAATGTGTCTTTAATTAAAAATTCAACTTATTTAATTTAAAAATTCTGCTGCTTACTTTTTTACGTTTGACAAAATGACATGATGAAGATGTGGAGTTGGCAAATAACATCCCATTTTTTTTTATTAGATATTCAAAGAAAATACTATAAGAGTATTCATACTCATATACTGTGTACAGTTTATTCATCAATGTATGGAAACACCTGGACTAAATACTGCTGTTTTTAACCTATTTCTCCACACTTTGATTTTGATGGACTGTTCCGACATGAACAACAATAGGCTCAAAATGTTTCATTATGTGGTATTTCCTTTAGGCAGAGGAAGTGCTATTGATTTGAGACATGTTTTAAAGCGACCCTAATCAGGAAAATAATGGGCATTTAATCCCTCTGTGTATTTAACCTTGTGCTGCTGCAGCCTCTACATTCATCTAAGAGGTATTTAGATCAGATCGTGCAGCGTTGAAAGTTTTATGGCAGAATTAAAGGTCATGACTTTTACGTAAAAGCAACCTGGCATAGATCCAAATAGTAAAGCTGCCAACACATTTATATAAAGAGGTCTGAAGAGCGCTATAAAACTGTCAGAACCATTCAAATATACTAAAATAAACACCTACCTCCCGCTTCATCCTCTCCGGTGGAGATGAGCAGAGGAGGGAGCTCATCCTCATTATCCGGCAGCAGACTGGGAACCCTCTGCACGCAGGAACCAATTCCAGAGAGCAGGGCGTAGTCCCAGGGTCCGGACACCGGGGGTCGGAACACCTCCACAGCCCCGGAGGCTTCGGGGGAGCAGGATCCACCGACTCCAACCTCTGACCCGGACTGAAAATATGAGAGGGTCAGTCACTGAGGTACCAATAAACAATACATTTGATCTGAATGTAAATGTCTCTTTCCAGAAATCGTGATCACTCAAGATAATCGAAACACCTTGTTTTGAGCAGTTTCATGTAGAAACTACATTCTACTGATACACAACCCCCAATGAGTAAGCACCACACTCTCGTCCATGAGTAGATGTATTCTTCTGTGCAGTTACATGGTAGAAAGAAAGTAGTTCCCTCGTTAAAAACTGCTCACAACGAAGTCTGAGGATTATCTTGAGCAACCAGGTCATGTTTTCTGGAAAGAGACATGGCTGTTGGGTTTTTCAAATACAAGTTTTTGGAACTTTTTCTTTTAGCACTACAAGCCGAGGGCCATCTAGTTCATTATATTCAAGACAAGGCATACATCTCTACAGCAAAAATCCCCAAGAAACTACAGCCCAACAGATAAGAAGGAAGAAATTGTATTTTCGATTTTGTTGTGAACCATTCCATTAAATATGTATAATCTATTTGTAGAAACCTCAGCAGTCGTATTTCTTAGAAAAAGTGTGAAAATGTGCTGAAAATAAAAAATCATGAATCATAAAACAGTCATATAAATGAAGGATTGAGTGTTTCCCTGTAGCTAGACAGCGATGATGTATCTTACTGTAGTTTGGTCCGGAGAGGACGGACTGAACTCCTGCGAGCTCCTACGGCTCGTCACCGACAGCTTTGTGGTGTCTGCCACCTCTCCGTTGGGCAAGATGCCATCAGCGAACCACACACGCTTCTGTTCACGAGGACAACCTGGTAACACACAGGAAACACACGTCTTTAAAATGGGTAGAGTTCAGGAAAACATCACCCACAGTTAAACACAGAGAGTGCACAGTAGTTAAGAGTGAGCGTACTGTCGTTGTTTGGGTTTTTGAGAACGGACACAGGCACCATGACGGTCGGTGGAGGGGAGTTCAGAGTGCCGGCGGCTCGAGCCTGCTGCAGAGGGGGGATGGTGCTGCAGTACTCAGATGGGACGTTGGGGTTCGGACTGGGACCAGCAGGACTCATCATCCGCTCCAGCGCCTGGGCTACAAGGGGAAAGACGTCATCACCGCGGGTTCATTTGAGCACAAATGACAAGGTAATTAACTCATTTTGATCTCCTGTCAACGCTGAAACGGTTATTGGATGGATTGTCACGATTGTTTACAGACATTCTTGGTCCCCTCAGGATGAACCATACAGACTTTGGTGAACCCGAGGGAAACTGTTGTGCAGCAGCTGCAGTACAAAATAGGAAAGAGTGCAAAAATATGCTATAAATAATCAATAATCTGCAAATAAAAAAGTAAACATATCAAATAAAACCACAAATAAAACATGTGTATCTATTATGATATTAAGAAGTTTAATCTCTACCTTCTACCTAGTTTAGCTTAATGCAGCATACAAGTACCGTAGCAGAAGTGCTTGAGGTCGGTTCATTTGGACCAGCAACATTTATGTCAGCTACAGGACCAGATCATACACTTTTTGTATTCCTTTATTGAATTCAGTTCAGTCCTCAAGTCTCTTCTCTTCTTTTTACTATTTGTGTGGTGTCAAGGTTCAAAGGCTCTTTAGACACCAAAAGTAGCTCATGATATGTCACAGTATGCGGGTGCAGTAGCAGGGAATAGCAGGTAAGGTTGTGTTTTCCAGTTTAACACTATAAATCAACGCGGACACAAGGATAGGCCTGTCACTATAATTACTTTATCGACTTATTGTACAATTTATGGACATGACCGTGGTCATTTTTACGCTTTTGACTTATTGTCCCCAGCTGCTGTCGTATTATTCTGGTTTTCAGCTGAATTGAAGAGGAGGGTTGTTGTTGTTGTTGTTACTTATATCTAACCTATAGCTAATTTATTGATAATTTTCTTTTGTGGTTGTTTAATTTTTATTTTATTTAAGTCTAATTATCACAATAATACAATACCTTTTTCAGTTATAATTATCATTACAATTGCTCTTTAAAAAGGGTGCATTAATAATAATAATATGAATTTTTATAGCGCTTTTCCTAACGCTCAAAAATGCTTAATATGCTATTATGTCATTGGCATAAAATGGTCTTAAAATGATATCATTGACATTTACCGCAAGTATTTTGGGGATAATACCTTTATTATTAAAGTGCTTCACCCAGATGAAAATATGTATTTGATATTGGAGGATTTTTGTAAAAGCAACTCTGATAAATGAAGGTGTGCCTGAAGGAACTTATAAATGATCCTGTGTGTGATCAGAGATCAAAGTGTGATAGATAAGAAGCAGAATTGGAGCATGAGTATGACTGGACGGACTCAGAGGACATGCAGCTGTACAGAAAACCTTGGAAAAGCAGCCCGCAGAGCAAAAGCCATGTTGCAATGACCATAAGGCAGTGACGGTGATTTGTGATTACTGTAATGAGTAATTTGCTCTTGGGAACAGCTTATGTCTAACACAGTGCAATACTGCAGCACATTCCAGTTTTCCTTTTTTTATTTTTTTTAAAAAGGGATTCGAAAATATAGTTTATGTGTGCTTTTACTGTTTTCCTTGAAGAATCAGAAATGTTTAACATCAAAGGACAGCTTTTCTTCCCCCTACAGTGCAGTATGTAGTGCAGAGTGAATGAAGGTTATTGAAAACAGGACAGACATGAGTTGTTGCTCCCAGGAAAGCATGCAGTGACTGCGAGGCTTTCTGAATGCCTTCTGGATGCAGCCTTTCAGAAAATGCTGATGTAGCACTCGTCTACATTATATTGATCAAGCATCATAGATCTTTATCAATCCGTTGTGTACTGACAACCACTCCAGTGTGCCTTATAAAAGCACAGGAAGCACACAGCAAATACATTACATTCATTCAGACCCTGGAAAACAAACTCTGCTGTCAGTCACACGGCAGATGAGTTGTTTCATTTTGTTTTGCAAGGAAAGGATGACAACGCACAAAAAAGTCATCAAGGATTTCCTTTAAATGACTTCAAGTAAGTAAAAAAACATTTGCAAACCCCATTTTAAGTTAAGCAGCAAAATAAACATAAATCCCTCGGCACAGATTATAAACTCACCAACAAAACACAGAAGCAGTAAACAATAATCGACTTTTTTAAGAAGTCATATGCATCTTACCTCATCCTCATCCTCCCCTCTGCTAAAACTCAACCAGTCCAAATCACTGCAAGCCTATTCCTCAGTGTGACTTCAGACTCTCCCATCACAGCTGCTCTCTTTATTCTGTCTGTTGTTAGCCGTATTAGCCTTTTAGCTGGAGGCTGGTGTGAGTGCAGTATGCCTCACATGCAAGCTCCCCACACTGTTATGAGAGATGGAGAGCAGCAAAAGGAGGAAAAAACGAGAGAGGGGGGGGTGACGGAGAGGAGAGAGGGATCACGTCACACCCCCGAGCATCCACCCGCCACAGAAGTGGATCACCTCTTTCTTCTTAATTTAGACGCCATGTGTTAGCATCACATGTCCGCTGCGTTAGGCGGGTCCTGTAGCTCACACAATCAAGGACAAATGCCAGTGTCCTGCTATAACTCTCCTCCTCCTGTCCTCTCCATCCATCTTCCCCTCCCCGTCTCTCCCTCTCCTCCCCCCTCCCTCTGTCCATGCTGCAGTCTTTAACTATAAAAAGCCTCTCTGCCTTTTATCATCAAAACAATCTGTTTTTTAATTATTTTCTTCAATGTGTGCATTGAGACACAGACATATTGTTTACTTACAACAAAATACATGATTCTAGATATAAATGTTTGCATTTTTAATGGATGTGCAGACAAAAGTGAAAGGAAGCCCCTGTGTGTTCTGTGGGTTAAATATTCATCTGCTGCATAATGAAATGTTACTGTGATGTTATTACGTATTAATGTCAACTTGTGAGTTATTTAAAAATAACTCCTGGGGTTAGTCTGATGCTCTGAGGGGGGGGGGATACTCAAATCTATCCCCCCTGCCCTGACTCCATACAGATGCAGTAAGATATCTGATCTGAATATTAAAGCTGATTTCTCTGGTCACTTGTAGGCAGAAAATCATGCTGTAAACATGCACATCACCTGATGAAGTTGTTATGGCAAACTATTTCTACCTGATCTTCCTAATATAAGTAACTTAAAAAGTAAAAAAAAAAAAGACAATTTAGATCACTATATTACAAAACAATCCTTACAAAAACCAGTCTTTTACAGCTATAGGACGTCTTCCTACAGGAGATGCACACACGTAAATCACAGCTTCTTCCTGTTCCAGAGGACAACAATTCACAACGACTGCCTTCTAAGCCAACTCATGAATGACTCTGCATTTCTGCTAACACTCTGCCATATTAGCACACTGGGATAAGGAACTTTGTTCACGTCTGTGGAAAACAATGTGGAAGTGAGTCTCTGATCAGACAGAACCAGGGCCTTACCTCTGTGTATGGTATCAAAGCAGACGACACACACACGCGCCTCCTTCTCCAGGTACTTCAGCTTACACTTCCTGTTGCAGCACACCGCACAGTAAACCTGTCACAAAGGAGGAATGGGATTAAAGTGATATACTATAAAGCACCTTGCAGATAAAAAAAACCCTACAACAACCCACACATGTGGCTCTCTAGTTCCTGGAGCTGCAGCACTCATGGCGTGAACAACAACAAACAGACCTCTTTAACTCCATGTAATCACCGGCCTTTGAAGGACTTAGCTCCATCTTTAGGATACTCGGCTCAGTAGAGGCGCTAAAAACAGAAATGCTGACTCATGCTCTCTGCGTCCGTGAATCCACCGTGCTATTTTTGGTCTCGGTTCGTAATCCCTTTTATTGAATTATGTCGGGACACGCACGTTACATTATTACTTTGACTTTTTACTGTTTCATATCAGTGCTGAAAATGCATCTAGAATCTGAAGCAACAAAAGTAAAACAAACAGAAAAGTAAGGATTACTAGACATATATGAAATATGTGATAAATGATTTATAGGCAACATGAAGGCTCTTAACCCAAACCATTACCCAGGACGAAATGAAACCTGGAACAACAAAAAAGGCTGCGGAGCACTTTAACAGAGCTGAACCTTTCAACTCCTCTCACATGATCCTTTATAATATATTTAATATTCTGTGGTTTTGGGCTCTTGCTGACAACTTCTGATAAGGTCCCCGTTGGCTCTAGGAAGTGATGGCCTGAGGGTTATGTCAGTTAATGAATTAGTTGATGAAAAAAAAGCAACAATTCTGGTAATTACTAAAATGCTTCAGGAGTCTTTAAAGAGCCTGTGACAGCCTCCCAACTGTTGTGCAATGAAATATTGGGCTACTAGTCATATCGAACCGTCAGTTTAAAAAAGAAGGTGCGATACCGTTCCGATAAATATCAATCATTCGACATCGCGNGCTAGTAAATCAATCTATCAGCACGAGGGAAGTTCCATCATCCTGGAAGGTGGCCACGGTGACACAGATCTTTAAATCTGGGGATAAGGCAATGATGTCCAATTGGACATCATTGCCTTATCCCCAGATTTAAAGATCTGTGTCACCGTGGCCACCTTCCAGGATGATGGAACTTCCCTCGTGCTGATAGATTGATTTACTAGCATAGTAATTGGTTTTATTAGACCGTCGATATTTTTCTTTATCAAGTTGGTGTCTAAATCATCTGCATCCCTAGCCTTAGAACCTCTTAATCCTGAGATTATATGTTTTACCTCAACCTCTGTGATTTCCTCCAGGTCAAAAACGGGGTGTGTATCCACAGTCGGGCTAGGTGAGACCTCAGATGGTGGGAAGAGCTTTGTAATGTCCAAAGCACTATTTAAGAAATACTCATTGAGAGAGCTGGCCAACACTGCAGGGTCTTTTATCAGGGCATCATTGATTTTTTATTCTAGAACATTATTTTCCTGTTTGATATGTTTACCTAATAGTTTATTTATAATGTGCCAAACTTTTTTACCGTTACCTTTCGCACCTTTAATTATGTTGATGAAAAAGTTAGCTTTGGCCTGTCTTATTGTTTGAGTTACCTTGTTACGAGCATGAGTGCATTTCTGTCTATCAGTGGATGGTCCAGATTTCAAGCTCTGCCTTAATAGTTGGTCTCTGGGTTGCATTAGATTCCTGAACTGTAGATTCAGCCGGGGAAGATGATGTTCCTTCCTATCCCTAAGGCACCCTCTCCTTGAGAAGGAAGACATTGTATCATTAATTTTAGATATAAACAGATTACTGTTTTCACCAATGTCTTCAGAGGAGAGAGTGTCCCCACAATTAATCATTTTCACTG